GGCAATTACTTTTTTTACACAGGCCCAGGTAAGTTTGGATAGCTTTTCCCCCCCCCCTTCACACAAATACTTTTACAGCACTGCACCTGGAGTGAAATTGGAGTCAGCAATGGTACATTGCTCAAAAACCTCATAATTTATTTGTATTGGTTGATTGATTGATATACTTTATTTGTCCTAAAAACAACCTAAAACGTTATTTATCAGCTGACAATGATTCCCCGAAGTCTAAAAGACAAAAGAGAAGTGGCACAAGGTTTCCGAGAAAGGGTGCCGACGTTTTGCCACAGATTTAGCTGTATGGTTTAGCCGTTAAGCTAGTTGACGCCTCCGTTGTTGTCCAGCGCTGTTTCTACTATTTTAAAATGGGTATGTTTGTAGTTTGGGTCATTTTTGTTATGTCACCAGATTGCTGAGGTGATTGACACATCTGTTTCACCCAAGGAAGTGAAACAGATGGAAGTCTTTAGGACCAGCAACAGATGGAAATTAGTTTGAGTTAAATAAGGATTTGTGTTTGTATAAATGAAGACTGTTGTTTACTACTTTTACTTACTATCCTGACAGTGGATCAAAATGACGACCCAGAGGAAGGAAAAGAACACCAAAATACAGAGGCTAAGACATCAAGCAGAAGTCAAAATTACTCACCAGAGTTGTCTTCAAAGAGAAAAGGATGCGATCCTCCTGTCAGAAAGACCTGGCACAACTCTTTGGATCTCTCTCCTCCCAGAAGTCGGCAGGACTCCCCAGACTTGTCACCACCGAGGCAACGTTCAGAGAAGTCAGAAAAGGTGCAAAGTAAAGGTGAGTGATCCAATTAAATTGTAAAGCTGGTGTGGCAAGTCAATATGAATAAAAGTAAAAAACAGAGGACCATTTAATATGAGTTTTTTTACACGCATACCATGATCTAATAACAAATCTTTCATTTGTATTCTAAAGGGAGGTTTTTCAAAAGTCATTACAAAAGAAAAACTCCTCATTTAGATAATAATAACGTTTGACATGATTGCTAATATCAAACCTCTGTGTTTCCCTCACAGATCAACTTATCTAATACAAGAAATTAACTGTCCTTGTCAGACTCAGACTTCAACAAAATCAAGCTCAGCTCATCCTTAAGTAATCCTTAAGTAGAAAACGCTCACCGGATCGGTCAGCGGTGGCTAAGAAGGATCAGAATAGACATGATTCAGACTCTGAACAGTCACCCCCAAAGAATAGGCCCCTGAAGAGAGACGCCTCAGACTCTGACCAGTCTCCTCCAAGGAGGCCCTCAGAAACCGAACAGTCTCCACCCAGGGTGCGGCCACTGAGTAGATGGGACTCAGATGGAGGTTTATCACCACCTCGTAGGCCAGGCCAGTCACAGGTAAGCAGACTGTGTTGGAACAAAGAGTAATGTGAATGTAATCTGATTCTGCTCAAATTACTGTGTTTTTCATTGTTTTGCTATTATACCCAGAGTCAAAGAATGCTATCTGGTGGAAAGACAGGCCTGGTTTCTGTGGATATTTTAAGGAAATGGCAAGAGGAGAACAAACAAGCAAAAAACAATCAGCTACTTTAACTTTTCCTCAACTTTTCGCTCTTGAGATATTTTTACACCCATCGATGGAACGGCTTCATACGGCTTTGCATCTCATCTCAGCATATGATTTATTTTGTCATATTTTATTTAGTTTTAAAGTTCAACAATGAATTTCTACCGACTTACCCATTCATCATCTATGACTAAATGATGAGGTAATGCCCAGACGTCAAATATCAATGCCAAATTCACCTCTCTGCTGTCATGTCAAATATCAATGCCAGACTCGCATTGATATTTACATATACACATGCACATATACATATACAAATGTGTATAAACCAACAATGAAATAACTAATCTAAATCTTATATACAGAAAATACAGGATTACAGAAATGAAATGAATACCACAGAATGTACATAAGGTGCAGTTGCAGTCTAGCAGTTTGAACCAGTGTGACAGTTCAATTGTTAAGGAGGGAGATGGCGGGGGAAAGAAACCGTTCTTGTGTCGGGTGGTCCTGGTCTGCAGGCTTCTGTACCGTCTGCCAGAGGG